CCTGAAGTGTCCTGTTTGTCTACTCAGAATTTCACATGGCAGCTGTCATACACCAGTATTTCCCAACCCCTTCTGCAGCATAGCCTTGTTTGAGAAAACTGACTGTGTTTTGTTTGCAGTTAAAAATAGCTAAGAATTTGGAATACTCATTTTCTCTCACATTTGTGTAGATACACCTGCTGTTTTGACATGAATGATTAGCAAATACTGTTTATAACAGTAGTGGCAAAATTTGAAATCTGGGATTTCGCCTGAAATTAATTTCCCTGTATATTTTTATTCCTGGTTTCATGGACAGAAATGTAGACACATGCATTGCATAGTGAATGGTTAGTAAGTCTGGTGCTTTGAGAAAGTCTCTGGCCAACTGTTCAAGCACTGAGCAACTGTGTCATTCATGCAGAACACATTTCCTAGAAGCTCCAGGCTTCCTGTGCACGTGAACATAGCGCACAGAACATCTGGAATTCTGCACGTATGGCAACCTAGTCAGAACTCCATCAGCTGCACCATCACTCCAACCTGGTACAATTATTGAAACACCAGAAATCTGGTAAAAGAATTTAAAAAAAAAAAAAAGAAAAAAGAAAAAAATCCAGGAAAAAATTTCCAGACACAAAAGCGTAATGGGTCCTGCAAAAACCTGTACATACACAACCCCTACATAAATATAAAGGTATGCATTCAGTCAACTCTTCACTAGAGAGGCTAAGAATAATGAAAGCAGCCAGGCGATCTGTGATCACTGAGAAGCATGGTACAGATATCCAATAGCACATGGCATGCTCAGCTCTGGCAACACGGAACAAAAATATTTGGGTTAGCACTTCTACAGAAACTAGGATACGCCCAGCAGAACATATTATGTTAGACTCTCCAGCACGCTTCACCTATTGTGCGGCCATCCTCACTGGATAGGAACCACTATGTCTTACTGGTCTGATCTATCCCTTGTAGCTATATCCTTCAAAAAGTCCAGTTTGCCGTTTCACTTTGCTTTGCTGCTCTTTTGCCATTCTAGGTTTTTAACATAATGTATAAGCTTTAGGAAGTGGTTGGAAATCTCATGGCACGTAACTGCTGATCAAAACGGTATTTTCTTAGCATTAGAAACTCCAGAAGATCATGGGTATCTTCCTCTTTTCTTGTGGCTAGGAGAACTCGAAAAATGGTGGTAAAAACAAACTACCCACTTTTGTCACACGCATATATCTATATTGCAGTCATAGTACTAAAATAAGGTAAATCATCTGACACTGAGCTCCATGCTATCAAAGCTAAACAGGCAAGAAAGCTCAAGATAGCTGGAGAAAGCTAGCTCTGATGACCTCACTGCATTTTAGTCACTTTAGGGCCCAGAGAGAACAGAACAGGGTCTAGTTTTTTCTCAGCTCATTAACATGAATCTCGGAGCCATGCTAGCTTCAATATGCACTGGCAGTGGATTATCTATGACTGTATCCTAGCTGAAAGGCAAATGCATTTTGCAATATGCCCTGCTGCCCTAATTTCCAGTTGTTTATACATGGTGTCGTTCCATTTCTGCTTCTGCTCCTGAGTTTTTGGCCAACACAAACCACAATGTAGGGGTCATGCTATATATCCAGGTCTGATCCCAATATGCGGTTAGTATCTGGCCAGCATATGCACCAGGACACAAGAGCTGGGAAGTGCTCCAGGGTCCCGCTGTTTAGACTTACCCATTTTATCAGTTTTCCTTGTGCTAATGGTTCCTTAGACTTTAATACTTAAAGGAATAAAGCTTTAATAACAGCTCTGTTTATAATTATTATGTTAGAACAAAGTTTCCATAAAATGCTATTTTAAACTACCTGGATAATTAAAAATACATAAATATTATTTGTGAAGAATGTTTTCATTTGTTTAGGCATATACAATTACATTCATATTCTCCAGAATGAATATCTGTAATGTCTGCAAATAAGCCCTTCCATGAATGCTCCCTTGAATATAACTGAAAACAAACACATGGAGAAGTGAAATATATACAGGTGTTCAATAAGAGTAAGTGAGTTATTTGCATCTCTTCGCACCATGGGATGCGTTTGAAGAGCTTCTTCAGCTACATGGGTTTCTTACAACAATTCATCTTCTTTAATTTTAAAAGCATCAAACTTGTTTTCAAGGTTTATTTTATAATTGTAAATTCCCACTGTTACAAACTTTCTGGGTGACCCTTGGGACTCAGATCTTACACTATGCACACCGATTTTAGTAGGAATCTGAATGGAATACAGTTGACTTGAAGAGCTGGACAGATCTCTTCTTACAGGTTTACAGTTATTTAGTAAATTTGATTGTGCTTTGGCTGACACTCCTTGGTATGGATGGCATGAACTAGCTGACTAGTTTAATTCAGTTTGTCTGAAAATACACTCTGCCAAATTTCCATTATTTTTGCTTTTTGGGGGACTGGCAAAGGTTAATCCTTCACATAAATTAATGGCTTCCAAGGATATTTCCTTTTTACTGCCTCTAAGTAAAATGTGCAATAAGGAATCTCAATGGTTCCCCTCCCAGCTATGTATTCAGTTCACAGTCACCTCCTGGCTATGAAAAGATTACAGTCTACCAACCCAAACAGCTTATGGCAGGAATCAACAGTGGGCCCTTTTTATGTTAGAGACAATTTCATTGCTATTCTGAACCACTTCCAAAAATCTTTGCCAAAACTTTTGCATATTGTGATATTTAGCAGGTATGAAGACTTATTGCAGGTCCTTCATGGCAAATTGTGCTCACAGGTGTCTTTATCTTCTTGCTCTTTAACCTCTTAATTCTTGATCAGGTTTGGCTGCATTTTAAACGTTTATTATGGAATCAGTCTTGTTTGCAGAGTCCACTTGCTTTCCCCCCCAAAACTGAGAACTTGTGAACTACAGAGGAGGATAACTTAAATCAATCCTCATAGAGTTTTGAAGTACTTAAAGATAAGCAGGGTTACATAGCATCTCTTAGTCACATACGTTTGCAGACAGACCCAAGAATTCAATTGAACTTCTGTTCATAGAATGAATATTCCATTTCCGAATGACACAGAACAGAATGCAGACATTTCATTCTACACATCACCATAACTGTCTAAACAAAAGAGAGATGAAATCTGTCTCTCTGACCCTGTTTCTTCTGAGAAATCCACTTAACTGAATATAGTGAAGTTTCTTCCACATTAGATGGGGACATGAATGGGAAAATCTATTATCATAACTATGACTATTTTCCTTGATTGGATCTGTCATGGGTATGGATCAATAAAGTCCACTGCAAAGCTGGAGAATATTCCTCAATTATCAAAAGAGAGTAAAGAAGGGTTTTGCAAAGATAGATCATTATTTTCTGCTTTTGCTGGAAATCAGATGATCTGAATCACAGAATCATTCAGGTTGGAAGGGACCTCAGGAGGTTTTCTAGTCCAACCTCCTGCTCAAAGCAGGGTCAGCACTGAATTCAGACCAGGCTACTGATGGCTTTGCCAAGTCAGGTCTGGAAAACCCCCAAGGCTGGAGATCCTACAGCCTCTCTGGGAAACTGCTCCAGTGCTTCATTACCCTCTGAGTGGAAATTATTTCCTTATATCCAGTCGGAACCCATCAGTTTCAATTTATATTATATTGCCTCTTGTCCTCCCACCATGCTCCTCACTCAGTAAAGAGCCTGGCTCTGTCTCCTAGAAAACTTAATCTTAGATACTGTCAGGCTGCTACTAGCATCCTCAACCCTCCTACCCCCCTGACCACCACCTCCAGCCTCCTTTCCGCGAGCTAGACAAGCCCAGTTCCCTCAGACTCTCTGTGCTTCAGCCCCCAACCATCTTGGTGGTCTTCTGCTGGATTTGCTCAAGTTCATCCACATCTTTCTTGAAGTGGGGGCCCAAACTGGACACAGTAGTCCTGATGTGACTTAACGAGCACTGAGTAAAGGGGTAGAATCACTTACCCTGACCTCCTGGCTATGTTTCAATTAACACAGCCCAAGACCCTGTTAACCTTCATGGCTCCAGGGCATCCTACCTGCTCATGTTCAGCTCGCTGTCTATCAAGACTCCCAGGTCCTTTTCAGCACAACTGCTACTCAGGCAGTCAGACCATGGACCAAAATGCAGCTCCTCCATGTCTGTTACTAATGCATATCGGACCATATGATATGAATGCATACATGTGCTGGTTCACGTGATGAGAACTGGACATATATCCCCTCCTAAGTTCAGACAACCCATCAGTTATAAGATGGGAAGGAATTGCACAATTTGCAAATCTACAAACAGCAAATCTTTAAAGCAGCTTATGAAAACTGACAATACCTACAGTCTCCATCTCTAAGGCTGTAATCCTCATCTCTCCTATGCCAATGAAATAACTCCACTGGCTTCAATTTCTGAGATAAAACTTTCCTGGAAAAATCTTTCTGAGAGAAAATTCTTACTAGAGAAAAGGCCCTGGGGAATGCGCTCATACTTAACGCTTAAAATAAGAATTTTTATAAGTGAGTACAGAACTCATTGAAACAAGCCCAGGTGAACTAAGCTGTTGTATTACTCTACCTTAATTTGGTCCCAAAAGATTATCTTATAAATGGATCCAGTTGCACTCAGCTCCTAGGTGGCCTTCTGCCATACTGGGCAACTATCCATTAAGATGACCCAACTTATTTCACAAAAGCCACTTGAGAATGATAAAATGCTGATGTGATGCCACTACCAACCTAGGTACGACTCAGGTAGAAGATTCTAGAGGTGAACGTCCATATCATACGTCTGTATCCTAACAATCACCTAGCTGTGATATCTTTAGAACTGAAATATTCTTCCCTAATTCACTGTTTAACCAAATGTTTCAAGGATGAAGTTCAGAAAATTTGAGGTAGGCAGCAGTATTTAAAAACTATTTCAAAACCTATCTCAAATGATAGAGCTCTTCTTTTGAACATGCCAAACCCCCTCAATGATTTGAACTCCAAATAAGAAAAATCTTTCACCTCACCTTCACCACTCCATTTTCGTGCATGGTGATACAGTTGTTGGGATCCTCTGAAAGTTGATATAAAGCCTGAGCGGTAGCTCTATGAACTGATGGATCATTTGATTTCAAGTAACGTACTAAGGGAGCCACAGCCTTCGTCTCTCCGAAGGTAACTCTATTGCTTCCCCACATGCAACAGTGGGAAACGGCCTCCGCTAAGTGACGTCTTAATTTGTCATTGTTCTGGATAAGGTAAAAACATAATACATAAAAACCAACGATGTAATGCATTAAAAATTTCATAGGAAAGCAGAACTATATTCTCAAACATCTTTAAGGAATCCCAATTTAATTGTAATAGAATTTAAAACCGGAGAAAACTATGAGGCATGGAGCTAGTAGTCTCTTATTAGTCTCTTTTCAAGAAGTCCTGTGAATTTTTATTTTATTTCAAAGGGGCTTTTAGACTGGCTGGAGATTAGCATTACAATGGAACATATAGCCACATCATTGAGATTCTCTGTGTGGTTCAGATTTATTGCTTGCTCATCCCTTTGTGCTTTTTCCATAGGGCAGCTGCACCTCTGAAAAGCAATATTCAGCAGTAGGGATAACGAAAATGAAGCTCATCCTCCAAAGCAACTTTAGTACCAGCCAAAGAATAATTTCATGTCCAATGTGCATCTCATAGAGGAAGATTCTACAGCTTTTCCCTTTTTCCGCTGCAAAACCTACTGCTCATGTCATGACCTTTTAACTGGGTATAACGCAATTTGACCTAAGAAATTCAGATACCTAGTACATGTTTAGATGTTACTTACTGTGTTTGCTAGTTTTGACAAGAGAGGGACGACTCCATGGTCTGTTATAACAGCTAAATTTTCTTCATCTTTTGCTATATTTGTAATGGCTGCACAAACACTTGCCAGGACTTCTTTATTCTTAGATTTTAGCAAATTGACTATCAGTTCCAAGCCACCAACAAAGGACCGAACCATTTCCCCAGCATCCTAAATGAGAATCAAAAGAATCCTTATTTTAAAAATACAATCTCAATTTGATAAGCAAATGTTAGAAAAAGGGATTGACATGGCAATTATTCAAAACACTGCAGCTACTGATGTATGACCTTCAGGAAGAAACATGGCTAATTCAGAACTCAAAGCTCTCTTGATTGCCATGTATGAGTTAGATTATTTACCAGACCAAAATCTAGGGAGAAATTCAAAGGCTAAATAAAGGTATCTAGTGCCATTTTAGATGCCACAGGGTATTGTTTCCAAACTCAAGCTGTCGCTCCAGAAAGGTGCAAGTCTCCCTTATCTTCTGCATCATATTTGCCAGGCCCAGGTGGGTGTTTCATATGCCCTAGAGTATCTAAAACTGCAATACAACCCCCTTTTTTGGCTCACATAATTTCTTCTGTTTCTCATTAGATCTGAGAGTGAACAGAAAGGAGTGGTAATATTATTTTCTTATATCAATGTAAATGAGTATTCGAGAATACTTACAAACTCATTCAAAAGAAGGTCACAGGAGTTGTGACAGCAAATGTGAAACAATCATGGCGCATTTCAGAGTGTACATCTTAGAGCAGGTTCTATGGGTTTTTAATAGCATCAGAGTATGAATAATCAAGATAAAATATAACTAAAGGGCACAAACACAACTCTGGTACAGGGTAAGTATGCTTTTAGAACAGAAATATATAACAGACAGCAGCATTATGCTTCTGTATAAATCTGTAGCGCCTCAGTCTTGAATATAGCATGCAATTCTGCTTCCTCTTCCCCATCTTAAAAAAGGTATAGCAAACTTACTTACTTAGAAAAAATTTAGAGAAAGATAGCAGGGACAATCAAAGGTAGGGAACTATTCTGTAGAAGGAACGACTAACCAACCAGGACACTTTAGGTTATAAAAAAGACAGATGAGGAGGGATATCATAAAAGTATATAGAAACCTGAGTGTGATGGAAAGGCAGCACAGGCAATCTCTCTTCTAAGAGAAGAACTGGGGGCATTAGATGAAATTAGTAGGTGGCATGTTCAGAACAAAAGGAAATTATTCTCAAACAAAGCATAGGTAAGATGTTGAAGGCCTTGGAGCAGGATTGTAGTGGCTGTTAAAAAGTTACCTGCTGAGAAACAGATCAGGAAAATTCACAGAAAAAAATCCATTAAGGATTATTCAATATAAAGATAACCCCTCTAATTTAGAAAGTTCCTGAGCCACAGATTTCTTGAAGGTGGAGAGCATTCAGGGGAAACACTGCTACGAATTTCCCCTGTTCTTATACCTTTCCTTAGGCATCCCCTGCTGGCCAGCATCAGGGGGAGAACACGGGGTTAGTGAACCAGCAGTATTGGCACTGTGAGACTGGACTAACGGGCATGAAATTCATTTGGTTGCCTCAGGCAAAGAGGAACTGGCAGTTATCTGATAAAGTGACATGCAGCATGCAGTACTTAATGTACCTTTAAAAGAACACAGGATGTAAATCTAAGTCTGGTTTAAGAACAAATTCATAACTGCTTGAGTTATATAGTCACTTACCAATGCTGCACATCCCAGATTCATTGCACTCTAATGTTAAACTGAGATGTCTGAAAAGAAATGTATCTCTGTTTCTTTGGTAAGATGTTCCCCCATGTAAGATCATATCACATTAGACAATCTTCTTTTAGCTTTCTGGTGGTCAAAAACAACGCCAGAATAGAAAAGCATCCACTTCTTTAAATGATTATTTACATGTTTATTCAACATGTGAATGTTGATAATTTCCTTCCTATGGCAGCAGCTGTCAAAAATAGTAGGCTGCAAGGAAAGGAAAAAAGGAAAAGCCTGTGTCCCTTGCTGGGATGAGACACATCTTATTCAATCCCCTCTATCTAACTCTGCATGATGTTGGATTTTGCCAGATCAGATGGGAAGAGTCCAGAAAAACAGGGCTGAATGACAATGACGTTTTTGCTGTATAAGGCAAAGGTAAGACAGTAAAGGTACACAGCTCCAAAGACTGATCCAAAAGAATATTCTGATAATCTCTTCATCAGTTCTAAGAAAGATCTGTAGTCACCGTATGATTGGGCTGGGGTGATGTGCAATCTACTAGCGCCAAGGAATTGTTCTTTCAAAAAGAAATGCTAGAAGTTTTCAGGAGAGAAAATAGATCAGAGTAGATTCTTTCTGTTCTTTCATCAGATGGCCTCGTGTCATCTGATTACTGTTACTGCACTTGGAAGAGGGTTAAAGTGACTAGCCAAATGGTCAGCAGTAACTCTTAGAATACATTTTAACCTGTGTACCTCAGTGATAAAAATGCAGAAGCAGAAAGGTAGGTCTGCAACTGGAATTTCATTTGCATGCTCACCTCAACAGGCCACTAGGAAAATTTTGAATTAGATACTCTCTTGAAACCCTTTTGGACTGAAAGGTCTTAGGACTTCATGAAAGTGCAAACATGGAAAGCATGAACTTTCCTAAGGCTAGGGAGTGACCTTGAGACCAAGAATGGTTTTGATTGTATTTATTTTTTGGGGGGGCTGATCTACAAGCAGAGGAGTGCTCCAATTGTACTGTGTTAGCTTTGCTGAGCAAATCCGTTAAATCTCTCATGGACTTGGTAAATAAAAATTCCAGAAGATGCTGCACTTTGTCTTTTTAGTTATGGGACTAAATGTCAAACAGACCACTTAGCTATAATGTTTCCTTCTCCCAGAAAGCAAAAGCAGTGGGTATGCTCATCAGGAATATAACAGTTTCTACCACAGACAGTACAATTCCCGAGACCGGAAGGGAGAGGTTAGTGCCATACAGTTTGAGGGTCAAAACCAGAAGCCACAGCCTGTGGAAAAAGGGTAGTGTCCAAGACCAAGCTTTGGGCCAAAGTCCTAAAAATAACAGAATGAGCAAACAACAGAAGTCCTTACAGACATTAAAAGAGGATCTATGTGTTTATGTGAAAGAGAGACAATATAGGCTTGTGACTCAAAAAAACAGCTCAGAGAAATAGAGAAGGAAGGGCAGCACTCGGCCACTTCTATTACCATGTGAACTGCATGTAAAGGGAGGCAGCCTTACAACATATTTCCCATGGATACGCTGTGAAAAAGGCTTCTTTGACTGTCATTGCTAGTGTACGTACCACAGTGTAAAAGTATCAATAAACTATCACTTGAATAAAAGTAATACTTCTTAATAGGACTTTTTACCTCTTACTTGAAATTTTAAAACTGGACCAAAGGCACTAGAGGATGGGTCACAGAAGAAAACTTCTACAAAGGAATTTCTATGAATATTAGAAGGCTATACAGCTAAGAGGTTGGATACAGGAGAAGGAAAGAATATCTGGTATTAAAAATGACTTGAATTCCTTGAAACTTACTACAGAAGTGTGACTGATGTTGTATCTAAATTTTAGCTCAACAAATGTGAAAGGTTCTGTTCAACAGGTAAGCTCTACAATAACGTGTCTAAGATTTGAAAGGCGCCCAGGCAAATATGCAAGTGACTCTGCTTTTTTGGATGGTTCAAATACCCATGCAACTTTTCTTCATGCTCTTGAACGCTGTTCCATGAAGAGACAAGATAACCTGTCTTCCATTTTATGAACTAATATATAAATTTTGTATTTTCCTATCTGTGGCGATTTTATATCTTCCTATAATCCCAGGTGATTAGAGCCCTACTTGTTACATTTCTCTTCTGACAAGCTTAGACTTTCCACCTTTTGTAAATAAATAGTCAAATTAAACTGATGGAATACTATATAAACAATCCAGCAGTAAGTAAAAGAAAGGAGTTTCAATAATCATCTGTGAAACCAACTATATACAAGGACAGAACCTTCTACCAGTGATGAAAAGCAGAGGGAAACTGCAGAAACCACATGTCAGGAAAGTTTCCCAAATATGATTGTGGGTGTAGTCTGGGGCTCTGTGCAAGACAAAGAGAAAAGTAAAGAAGCAAGAAATTTGAAGAACAATGAGCAGAAAAAAGACTGAAATTAGAGTTTTAAAATTTGTTATGTTACTTATGAGATCTTTTCATGAGTTTTTCTTTCAGAGAAATTTAAACAACAAATGTAATCTTTTCTGGTATCATTTAGCAAAACCACAAACTTGCTTTGTATAGTAAATTTCTACTTTAATTTTTTCATTGCAATGTATGTGTATTTGTTATATGCAATTGCCATACGTTAAAGATATTTTCACAAGAAGAAATTATATGAAGTCGTGCCTGTGACTGCAAAGGCCTGGATTCAATTCTTTCCATTCCATGTTCTCCGAGCACACTTGTATTAATGATCAGACACTTATTCATACTATCAAGTCTAAAGTAATTTCTGTATTCTTCGTTTCCAAATACACTTTTCCAGAATACTCTTTTACCCTTTTCCATTTACATCTATACTTAATTTTGTAACATAACTGAAGAAAAATCATATATATTATTTCTTTGGAAATCTTTGTACTTTTTGTTTCAAAAAGAAAAAAAGTGAAAGCTTTTAAATTAATTGACACACAACTTTTTTGTGAGACTGAACCCAAGCATTTGGCATTTCCAAATATTAGTGTGTGAAGCTTTAATATTTACTTGTAGTCCTTAAATCTTGCTGCAGAATTGCAAATGACATCATTGCTTCATGGTCTTGGCCATGCAGTCAATTTGCTATTAGGGTATAACAGAATTTTGATGTTGAATGTGGAGCGGTTAGTGTTGCATTTCAAGCTTAACACTAAAGCACTAAATTCTTACTGTAGCACCTGTATACTACAAAACTCTAATCTATTAATCTATTAATGTAGGTACAAAATTACACTTACTTTCTTTTCAGTTATAAAAGATATGCAAGAAACATAAACTTCGAATGTTTTGAAATGCTTAGAGAATATCTTAGGATACCGCTATACAAATACAACTAGAAAAATAAGAGAAACACATTAAAGTGAATTCAGCAAATTCACTCCCCTCTTTACTTGTCCTGATAAAACCTTACTTCTTTGTT